TAACCTAACCTAACCTAACCTAACCTAACCTAACCTAACCTATCCTAACCTAACCTAACCTATCCTAACCTATCCTAACCTAACCTATCCTAACCTATTCCACATGATGTAACTTACAAAACATAACTTACCTGATGTAACTTACCCATCCTGACCTACTAACGTACATACCTTACTAACTTAACTTACATAACATAACTTTTCTACCCTCACCTATCTAACCTCCTCCACCTAATGTAACTTACCTAACATAACTACATAAACTTAAACAAACAAACACAACTCTTGCAAACACTTAGGCACTTTCAGAAGCTCTTACACATATTCTAATTTCAGAACATTTCACAAATGCATATTCAATTATCTTATCTTAGTGCTATTTTTCTCTGTCTGTTCTGCTTTCAATCTCTATTATTCCTTATAAAGTGTTTTTTAAGTATCCTTCCCTTACATAGCCTAATAACCCTAACCTAATAAACCCTAACCTACCCTATCCTTAATCCCATATATTTTTTACTTGTACACTATCTATCTACGGGAGCCGGTCGGCCGAGCGGACAGCACGCTGGACTTGTGATCCTGTGGTCCTGGGTTCGATCCCAGGCGCCGGCGAGAAACAATGGGCAGAGTTTCTTTCACCCTATGCCCCTGTTACCTAGCAGTAAAATAGGTACCTGGGTGTTAGTCAACTGTCACCCCGCCAAACGCACACCGAAACTACGACGTTGGTACAACGTTCGAACAAGTTTTAACACCTCCTAACCAGTTATAATAACCAATATAGCAAGTTGTAACAACGTTCTAATACGTCATAAACACGTTAACCCAAGATGTAACAACTTTATTACAAGTTGTAACAAGCGGAAAATGGAGACAGTTTCGGTTTGTGTTTCCAGGGACGGGCTGCTTCCTGGGGGTGGAGGCCTGGTCGAGGACCGGGCCGCGGGGACACTAAAGCCCTGAAATCATCTCAAGATAACCTCAAAAAGATAACCCAGCATTTTATGTACATCTTAGCTCATCATATTGTATTTAAATATTTTATTTAGATTCATCCTCCCACTCCTCAGATAGGGAAGAATAGGTAAGTTAGATTAGGTAAGTTTAGGTTTGGTTAGGTTAGGCTTAGTACAGGTAAGTCAACTTAGGTAGGGTTTTAATTTTCAGGGATATTCATTGGATAATAGCGGAGTTGTATGAATGAAGTAAGGCAGGGACAGGAGCTAGAATTCGGTTACTGACTTGATCTGATTTACTATGCCCTCAATATGTCTGTTATAAATTGGGTGAAATTGGGGTATTAATAGCGAAACTACACTTATAAACATAAAAGCTGGGTCCAAGAGCTAATATCTGATAAACTTTTAAAAACATCTGCTCATTAATTATATCCATACGAACTCTTAAAAACTCGGCCAGGATTAAAACTCTGAACAAAATTAGGTCTTAAACTTGTCTATAAAAAATTTATCATAATTTGAAATTTGAAAAAAAATGATAAAATTTGAAAAAAATAGTTCAGATTGGGACCCTGAAGAAATTTGGTCTTTAACTGGTCTCTGACTAATTTCCGGTCTTAAACTTAACCCTGAAGAAATTTCGGTCTTAACTGGTCTCTGAAGAAATTTGGTCTTAAACTGGCCTCTGACTAATTTTTGGTCTTAAAATGTTCTTCGGTCTTAAAATGATCTTAAAATGGTCTGTGTCAAATTTTGGTCTTAAACGTGTGAAACAGCAGTAAATGAATATAAAACAAAAAGTTACTGCTAAGATGTCTATTTTCTAAAACAAACTTCTAGTAACATATACACTGAAAATGGTTTTTTTTTAAATTTCGGTCTCAAACTCTGAAATATTTCGGTCTTAAAAGGTTGTGACAGAGTGAGGAATAATTATTTTTTCCCCTGGAACCTCTGGTGGTTTAGCTGAAACTGACCCCAAAAATGTTTAGTTTCAGCTAAGCCGCCATCCCTATTACTCCCGGCTAGACCTGTAGCCCAGGTAGAACCGTGGCCCAGGTAGAACCGAGGACCTGGTAGACCCATGGCTCAAGAAGACCCATGATGCAGGTAGACCAATGGCCCAGGTAGACCCATGGCCTATGTAGACACATTGCCCAGGTATACCAATGGCCTAGGTAGACACATTGCCCAGGTAGACCAATGGCCTAGGTAGACACATTGCCCAGTAAGACCCATTGTATACATAGACCCATGACCCAGGTAGACCTGTGGCCCAGGTAGAGCCATGGCCTAGGTAGACCCGTGGCTAAGGTAGTCCGGTAGCACAGGAAGAGCTGGGTCCGCGGTATGACCCACATGGAGCCTTGGGCTAGGTAGACCTGTGGCCCAGGTAGAGCCGTGGACCAGGCAGAGCGTTGACCCAGGCAGACCCTTCGCCCAGGTAGAGCTGGGGCCCAGGCAGAGCTGGGGGCCCAGGTAGAGCTGGGACCTAGGCAGAGCCGTGGCCCAGGTAGACCTGGGGCCCAAGCAGAGCTGGGGCCCAGGCAGAGCTGGGGCCCAGGTAGAGCTGGGTCCCAGGCAGAGCTGGGTCCCAGGCAGAGCTGGGGCCCAGGCAGAGCTGGGGCCCAGGCAGAGCTGGGTCCCAGGCAGAGCTGGGGCCCAGGCAGAGCTGGGGCCCAGGCAGAGCTGGGTCCCAGGCAGAGCTGGGGCCCAGGCAGAGCTGGGGCCCAGGCAGAGCTGGGGCCCAGGCAGAGCTGGGGCCCAGGCAGAGCTGGGGCCCAGGCAGAGCTGGGGCCCAGGCAGAGCTGGGTCCCAGGCAGAGCTGGAGCACAGGCAGAGCTGGGGCCCAGGCAGAGCTGGGGCCCAGGCAGAGCTGGGTCCCAGGCAGAGCTGGGTCCCAGGCAGAGCTGGGTCCCAGGCAGAGCTGGGTTCCAGGCAGAGCTGGGTCCCAGGCAAAGCTGGGTTCCAGGCAGAGCTGGGTCCCAGGCAGAGCTGGGGCCCAGGCAGAGCTGGGGCCTAGGCAGAGCTGGGTCCCAGGCAAAGCTGGGTCCCAGGCAGAGCTGGGTCCCAGGAAGAGCTGGGTCCCAGGCAGAGCTGGGGCCCAGGCAGAGCTGGGGCCCAGGCAAAGCTGGGTTCCAGGCAGAGCTGGGACCCAGGTAGAGCTGCGGCTCAGGTAGACCCGTGGCCCAGGTAGAGCTGGGGCCCAGGTAGAGCTGGGGCCCAGGTAGAGCTGGGGCCCAGGTAGAGCCGTGGCCCAGGTAGAGCTGGGGCCCAGGTAGAGCCGTGGCCCAGGTAGAGCTGGGGCCCAGGCAGAGCTGGGGCCCAGACAGAGCTGGGGGGGGGGGAGCCCAGGCAGAGCTGGGGGGGCCCAGGTAGAGCCCAGGTAGAGCTGGGGGAAGGTGACCTAGATAGACCCGCCGTGGCCCATTTAGAGCCGTGGCCCAGGTAGAGCTGGGGCCCAGCCAGAGCTGGGGCCCAGGTAGAGCCGTGGCCCAGGTAGAGCCGTAGCCCAGACAGATCTGGGGCCCAGGTAGAGCCGCGGCCGAGGTAGACCCGTGGCCCAGGTAGACCCGTGGCCCAGGCAGAGCTGGGGCCCAGGTAGAGCCGCGGCCCAGGTAGACCCGTGGCTTAGAAAGAGCTTCGGGGCTCTGATAAATCTGTGGCCAAGGCAGAGCTGGGGCCTAGGTAGAGCTGGGGCCTAGGTAGAACCGTTGCCCAGGTAGACCCAGGTAGAGCATAGGTAGAACCTGGAGCCCAGGTAGAGCATGGAGCCTAGGCCCAGGTAGACACGTTGCCTAGGTTAAACTATGGTTAGGTAGACCCGTGACCCAGGTAGATCCGTGACCCAGGTAAACCAGTGTCCCAGGTAGAACTAGGGCCAAGGTAGACAAATATTTATCCCTGGGCCTAAAACAAGTTCCAGAAAATAACGAGAACAATAATTTGGGGGATGATGTGCAGCATCTCCACATTTGTCAACACATGTCCTCTCCCTCTCTCTTGCCCTCCCTCTCTCTTGCCCTCCCTCTCTCTTGCCCTCCCTCTCTCTTGCCCTCCCTCTCTCTTGCCCTCCCTCTCTCTTGCCCTCCCTCTCTCTTGCCCTCCCTCTCTCTTGCCCTCCCTCTCTCTTGCCCTCCCTCTCTCTTGCCCTCCCTCTCTCTTGCCCTCCCTCTCTCTTGCCCTCCCTCTCTCTTGCCCTCCCTCTCTCTTGCCCTCCCTCTCTCTTGCCCTCCCTCTCTCTTGCCCTCCCTCTTTCTTGCCCTCCCTCTCTCTTGCCCTCCCACTCTCTTGCCCTCCCTCTCTCTTGCCCTCCCACTCTCTTGCCCTCCCTCTCTCTTGCCCTCCCTCTCTCTTGCCCTCCCTCTCTCTTGCCCTCCCACTCTCTTGCCCTCCCTCTCTCTTGCCCTCCCTCTCTCTTGCCCTCCCTCTCTCTTGCCCTCCCACTCTCTTGCCCTCCCTCTCTCTTGCCCTCCCACTCTCTTGCCCTCCCTCTCTCTTGCCCTCCCTCTCTCTTGCCGTCCCTCTCTCTTGCCCTCCCACTCTCTTGCCCTCCCTCTCTCTTGCCCTCCCACTCTCTTGCCCTCCCTCTCTCTTGCCCTCCCTCTCTCTTGCCCTTCCTCTCTCTTGCCCTCCCTCTCTCTTGCCCTCCCACTCTCTTGCCCTCCCTCTCTCTTGCCCTCCCACTCTCTTGCCCTCCCTCTCTCTTGCCCTCCCTCTCTCTTGCCCTTCCTCTCTCTTGCCCTCCCTCTCTCTTGCCCTTCCTCTCCCTTGAAGCTTTTTTCTATATGCAAAACAGCCTTACATGAAAGCTTCAACTACCCCTACATAGAAGATACCACAACAAGATGTAATTTTATTATAATTTTCTTCATATTCTAAATATTATTTTAGAAAAATATTTTTAAAATATTCTTAAAATCTGTATGAAACGTTTTGCTTAAAATAATTTAATGTTAACCAACCTCACCCTAAAAACTTCAATATCATAGTACAGGTAATATTTATCTGTCATTTCGTTTATATCATCCCCGTCCTTACCTTATATTTCTCAATCGCACGAAAGAACTTTTCAGGTGAAAACCCAGGAAGGAGGAGGGTAGTGCCGCCGATGTAGAGGTTGGTCATCATCATGGCGTAACCATACATGTGGTTGAGCGGCAGCATCAACAGCATCATCCTGTAGGCCTCCTTGGCCAGCATCTCTCCCTGCTCTCCCATCAGCGTGAATATGTACCTGAGAAGAGACGGGTGGATGGAGGAGCAGGGGAGGTGGGGCCAGTCTTTCAGACAAGTGTTATTCAATATCACTCAAAATAAAAAAAATAAATGCATTAGACTTATGAACCAAGTAGAAATCTCATTGTTTCTTATGTTCTTCACATGATAATTCTTATTTAGTAATTTATTAAGTTATTAAAAGTTAGTTAGTAGTGGACTGTATATAATCTGATTCAGCTGCTAGAATTTATCACACACAATTGGGGGGACAATTTGTAGCTTAAACCACTTGGAGGTGGATCCTTCATGGACCACAAATTGTTTACCTAGTCTTTGATATATAAATTATAAATCATACCATATATGGGGGTCATCTCTACTATTAATACAGCAAATTAAATTAATAACTACTAATACTATGTCTACAGTATTAATTAAACACAAAAGGGCCTTAGCTGCTACTGTTGGCCTGCTAAGGCTGTGTAATTGTAGCATCATAATTGGGTGTGGCCCTGTGCCTCAGAGTGTCACGTAATGGCGGCTATCTAGAGGCCTGCAAGGCTTGATGTACAGCAGATAACTATTCCTATAATTATGTTGGGAGCCAGCTATCTGCTTCACTAACTTCCTCACAATTACCTGTTTAGGATGTAAAGAATTAATAATGGTTCCCTAAACATACAAGTACATGTATGACATGAAATATGTGTGTGTAGAGCTGAGTAAACTCACTGTGTTTGGGGATTTAATCCCACGTCTTAACAATATTTCCTACAATAATAATGGCCAGTATTAAATGCAATAGAAATACCGAAAATTGTTCTTCCCTTTGTTCATGAGATCTTCGGTTGGGCGGATCGTAGAGGATCCTGTGTCGAAGCTCGGAGAAAGAACCTTTTGTGTCGTAAATTTCGTCAGGGAGTGATTTCTCACTGTTTATGTTGTTGTTGTTGTTGAGTTAGGGGCGACGACGATCGTGGGATCGGATGCGCCCCGGCGTACCCGTAAAGGGTGAATCGCAAAGCCATGAAAGGCGAAATGTCAAGCCAAAACGCGAAACGAGTGGCGCCAACCACTAGAAACTAATATGACACACGGCAAAGCTACGCACAAATGGAGAGGCAGAAGCACATAATAGAACAGGGCAAACAAACAGCCAGAAGGGCACACAGCATGTCAGAGCAAATACACAAGAAATCAGAGCACATACTTGCCCGGGAACTTGGCCCGCGGGAATCTTACATTGAACGCCTCCCAGAGCACCCATTGCCAAGGGTCTCGTCCATCCACCAGGGACGCCATAACATCCGGAACCGGGGCAACAACACCTACAAACTGGGGACCCAGATGGTAGTACTCATGAGGCGAGAAGTCGCCACTCGCCCCCACAGGAAGGGAACTTGCCCCCCACGAAAGCACTCCGGTCCGTCAGACAGCAGTAACTCGGCAATCTTCGACCAGTGACCCGGTGGCATCACAGACGCCGGCAACACGCCCCCAGGGCCCCAACGCGCACCCGCACCACAGGGGTATCCGCGGCCCTGGGCACACCACCAGACGACAGCAGGGAACCCGGACGGCGCGCATCCTTCCGTAACGTCACCACCAGACCACGCCCAGCACCAGAGTCCACACCATCCCTGGCAGCGGAAGTCACCACCCCCCACTGTGGAGAGTCCCCCGGCGGAGAAAGAGCCGAAGGCACGTCCGAGACACAGGCACCAGCACCAGCAGGCACATGTACCTCCGCCACCACGAACCGCGGAGACATCGACGCATCCATATTCACACTGTCAACACCCGAAGCCCCACAGTCACTGAAGTCACCAACGTCGGCCCAGGAAGACGACGAACGCCGGGAACGTTTGGGCACCGGCCGGATATCGTCCGAGCCGGTAAGTGACTCAGAAACACGGGTACCACGAGCCAAAGGAACCGACGCCAGGACGGCAGCAGCCTCTATCACAGGGGGAACCGGGCCACACACAGCAGGAGGCTCCGCAGCCACCCCAGCACCAAGCACATCCGGGACCCGAGTCACGGACACAGGGCCAGGCGCAGCATCAGAAGACGAGGAAGAAGACAGCGACGTCACACAGGGGGCTCCAGGAATGCCCATGGGAGCAGCTGGAACAATGACAGGATCAGGCAGACCAACCGACGGTACCTCAAGAACCGGAGGAAGGACGGCAACAACCGGAGGAGGGACGGCAGGCGCCGCCGGGGAAGCTGCAGCAGCAAACGGGACGCGCACCACCTCATCAACATCACCGGAGACTGCCTCCAGAGGGAGCGGCGGGAAATCCTCGTCACGGAACAAGTTGTCAGGAGCAGCAGGGGCCTCAGAGCACCCGACAGCCTGATGCCCCAACAGGCCACACCGGTAACAGGTACGAGGCTGCCGGGCATAATACACCCGGACGTAGTACCCCATAAGCCGGACAGAAGAAGGTATATCCGACCGCAGGCGCATCCCCAACGTGCGAATGTTTGTACGCCTCCCAGCATACCGCCCCGAGGAGAGCGTGTTCACCCGCACGCTGACAACAGTACCAAAACCCCCGAAGTAACGCCGGAGGAGGTCATCAGGGAATTCCAGGGGCGTACCATGGATACTGACATAAGTTAGGGCACCACTGCGGTCCTAAATCGCCACAGATCCGGCATCGTCTGGCAACGTCAACGTACGCCCCCCGTACCGACGGAGGAAGTCCCGAAGTCCTCGTGGGGGAAGTCCTCCCCCACGAACTTAATAACAACCCGATGGGCCGTAACTAGCTCCACACCGTAAACAGCTTCCACCGGGACACGAAGCATGTCACACATCACCATCTCGATGGTCGGATAACCAGCCTTACAAGTGAACTCCAGGCCCACGGAGTTCACACGCTGAACAGGAGGAAGATGGCCCCCCATGTCAGAACTGCCACGTCAACGCAGCCAGGCAGGCAACAAAACTGGTAGGGCAGGGACGCCCACACCACCTGGCGACCAAAACAGCAAACAACTCCAACAGCCACGGAGGGTCGGGAAACGTCCTCACTCCACGGCTGCTAGCCCTTGTCTCCTTCTCACTGTTTACAAGTTGCTATATGTACGTGACGACGCCCTAGCCAATGTTTTGGTTCTACTTCTGATTTTATTTAACAGTAGCAAGTGAGTCAAGCTGTACTTCTTGTTGTTGGAAATTATATTCAGACCTAGTGAACACTTTTTTATTAAGTTTAACATTAGACTGTTGTTTAAAAGAAATTAGAGTTAATATAAATACGTGACATCGATGACGTCACGGAATCACCCATTCTTTTTTCCTTTATGGGTGTAACTTATGTTTTTATCTGTGTCGGATTTCCGACAATATATGTTGTGGATCAGGATATCTTTGGTCATAGTCTGGTTGTATGTAGATACTAAGTGTTCCTTGATAGAGCCTTGTTGCTTATGCATTGCCATTTTAATAAAAAGATGTGTTTCGTCTTGTCTTTATATTACAGATATTTAGGTTTGACATCCCTCAGGTGGACATGTGAATGTCCACCTGTCAAACATTAACAGGACATGTGGAAGTAAAGATGATATTTATCTCCTTCAAGATGTTATGCCTGGTGACGGGAGAGTTCTTCATGAACAAGTTGGCGTTTTTCTGTTAATTTATTAAATTATGAACTAAATCTTCTGGTCCATACAAAAAGTGATCAGTAGGGAGTCACTCTTTTGACAAATATATTGTTTGAGTCTTTCTTCTGTTTTGTAAGCCATTCCCAATGTCTATTGAAAAGTTAAATAGGTATGAAAGATTCTATTGCGTTTGGGTATCATTAGAGATTGCATGGAGGTTCACCAATTTAATGATCTCTTTGACATATCCGTTAGCATCTTCATTGTTGACAAGAACCTCGTACGGAATTTCTCGTTAATCTGCTTCCAACTGCAGCTGCGAGAGAGAACACGGTCTACACAGGTGTCAACTTGTGCCTCTGGGCGCTCACTCTTAACATTAACGCACATTCCTATATTGGTTCTCGTATTATCAACTGCAATATAAAAGCCACAATTACTTTCCGAGACTGTAGCATCCATAGGAGGCAGCATACTTCCGTTTTTTTATCGTACGCAAAACATTGCTTGAAGGCTTCCTCAAGCTGAATTAAGAATCCAGTGTCAGGAACCCGCTAGGAGATGTCATTAACACACATACAGTTAACATCAGGCTTAGGACCACGTCAACGAGGACTTTCTCCTCAAATGTTCCCATTTAAAAATTCGTAAATATAACACCGAGTAGGAAATTTACACGTGTACCATCTATTTGTTACTACATGAAAGGTGCCCCCTGCGGTATGAAGAAAATTTCCACCAAAATTATAATATAAGGTATGACTATTTATAGAACAAACCAAGCCCTGCCAAGACAGAGAGAAAGTGTCAAGTCAGCATATTTCGACCATTTTGAGAACACCATCCCAAGGAGGTAACTGTAATGATTCCACTCCTGGATATGTAATTACATCTATTAGCTATAAGCATGCCATGGTGATATTCCAAAATAAAATACACATTCTCAATAAATAATTGTTTAACCAGATACGTTTGGTTAACGATTGTTTTAATCGACCTTTAAAAATGGACAGGGTAACCAACCTCGCCTTGGGTGGATTTCACTAGTGTCCAGATGCTGTCGCTTTAGTAAATATTGCTCCTTCACCTCATGGGGACACTCCACAATGGGATTCCTGGTTCAACCTTGACGATGAGCGGACATCTGGACACCTCCTCCGTCTGGGAGCTGCCTGATCACGTTGTTTTCGTGTTTTGGCTTTGCTACTGCAGTTTGGCATCCCTATTCAATGGTCCGGTTGTACGACGCCTGGCACACATATCGCCTTGGGTCATGGGATTGTTGATAGATTTTTTTTATTTTGATGCGTTCTGGGTGGTTCTCCTGGCGGGGTGACGGTGTCCGGTGTCCGGGGGCCAGCTTGGCCTGGAGGTGCCGGGGGTTGGTGGGTCTTGCTG